CTGGCAAGCTCCTGCCTGGTGTCATCACAGCCTCTGCTTGACTGCTTTTTGCTTGGCTGGCCAGTTGTTTTTGTGCTCCAGTGGAGTTGGTTGGTTGCTTTTGGTTTCTTTTTGTTTGTGGGGTTTCATTTTGATTTTCTTTGTTCTTTTTTTCTGTTTTGGCAAGAGCTTGCTCAGCATGATAATGCAGTCTGTTCTGGTAACTGTCTTCAGATCTAGCCTTAGTGTTTTGAACTTTTTTTCCTCCTTATTCTGGGAGGGAGGTTTTTGTCCTGGTAATCATCTGAAATAGTTGTTTATACAGTGACCACTGTTGACCTTTCACAAATCTTTAACTTTCACTTTGGAAAAAAGGTCCTGGTATCTCCTGGCAGAGAGCAAACCCCCAGGGGTCGTGTGCTTCTGAGTCTGACCTCTTCATCCCCAGTCTTCTCTCTCTCAAACTCTCTCACTCTAGGCCATGACCCTTTGCATCATCACCCGATTACAAAACTGAAAGGATTAACTTGCTTTGGAAATCACTCAAACTAAGACTTTTTTTCCCCTTGAACTGAAGCTGAATTTTACTTGTACTTTCTTTCCCCCAAATTCCCAGCATTTACTCAAACAAATCTGCTTGTATCCACAACATTCACTTTGCAGCTGCAAGGGAGATTCTGTTGTCATCAGACCAGTTTGGCCATGACTTTTGCCTTTGGCAGGAAGTTTCCTCAAGCCTTGCTGATCCTGGACTGTCTGTTGGCCAACTCTGGTCAGCGTCCCACCTCTTGAAAGCATCGTGATGCCTCCGATAGCTGGTGCGGAGGCCGAGAGAACCTAATGAGAAATGGGCCTGGGGCCTTGTCAGGAGAAAGTCTGGGCCTCAGATAGTCCTCAGCCTGAGAAATGAGACCATAAAACAGATGGGGGTGGTGTGGTTGGCCAGGTCCCCAAAGCAAACTCCCAAGAGACGTGGGAGGGTTGGCCAGTGACTGAGGGTGAGAAGCTGGTTTTGGAGAGGCACTAGCTGGATGAGCTCTCAGCCTGCTCACGAGGAAGGGTTAGTGTTAGGTACAAGTAAACCTCTCCTGCAGTCAACGGGCAGGGTAAAGTGGGGACGTTAAGTGTGTGGATGTGTGTGTGAGGATGTTGGGCTGGTGCACGCAGGCACGTGGGTTTGGTGGTTGTGGTTGGGTGACACTGCACAGACTGAGTGGCTCTGCCCCAGGAGGGCCTGTGGCAGATCCAATCCCCAGGGGAGACCCGGCTCCCTGGACGGTGACAATCTGAGCCCAAGCAGGAAGTCCTGGTCTGGTACCATGGCCCCCCTCCCTGCTGGCGCCAGGGGCAGGCAGTGGAGCACATTGAAGGGGATAAATCACTTGAAGCAACTCATAAATTTGTCCAGCTGTCTCCTTCCATTCTTCATTGTCTTCTTTGCCAGGGGATCAAGCCAGAAGAGGGAACCCTTGCTGCTTCTGTTTTTCTTCTGGGGCTGGGCTGGAGGGCTGGGATGCAGAGAGGGGGCCAGTCCCAATCACAGCTGGCTCTTGTGGAGTTTTGCTAAAGGCACCAACCCACCTCTCCAGCTGTGATGGCAGGCAAGACCTGCCCCCTGCCTCTTACTGGCTCCTCTGCTGCCTGCAGGGGGGCAAGGCCAGGAGGCAGAAAAGGGTTCTGCAGTGAGCAGCTGTGCCAGAGGTTGGCACCAACCAAACCATGTGCCATTCTGCCCAAGGCTGGGCACCTTGTTTCCTTTTTCTCCTTTCTCTGTCAGCACAGCACTTGAAGGCTATGCCAGCCTCGTTAGGGAGGGGTGGGGGATAGGGAGATCCACTGCCCTTCCTGTTGTGTCCCCAGACACACAGCAATGAAGACTGGGGGCTGTGTGGGTGCCTCGGGCACTGATGAGTCACAGCCATCCCTCCAGCCTCCCTAAGCAGTGGGACATGTGTCCTGCATGTATGGGGCTGGCAAGGCCCTCTGTGTGGCACCAGGGACCAGCGGCATGGGCAGCGGCTGGGACAGCACCTCTTCCTCCCAGGGAGGGCAAGGGGAGAGCTGGGAGTGATGGATACCCTCCTATACCAAGGGGAGGTGACCAACAGCACCCCCAGGGGCAGCACAGCCAGAGCTGGCAGCCTCTTGGTCATTCATGCTGCTTGTGGGATGGCATGGCACGGAGTGGGATGGCATCAGATGCCACAGCAGGGCACAACAAGAGCATGCAGCTCATCAGACGACATGGTATGGCACAGCCAGGGCACACAGCCCCTCATCCAGCCACCCTGCACCCTGGGACAGCACAGCATGGCTCAGCAGGGCCAGACTGCCCCAGGGCTGCCCTTACCTCCCGGGCTGCAGCCTCGTGCAGGACAAGTAGGACCAGGGTGAGCAGCAGCAGCAGCCGAGGGTCCCCATGGTGTTGTTGGTGGTGGCTCTGCCTGTGCTGCTGCCCCACGACCGCTTGGCCCCTTTTATATAAGAGGGGCTGCTGACCCTCTGACAAAGGACACCCACATGGTGGAAGAGTCCCATCCCCTCTGGGGATGCACAGGGGACCCGTGCAAGGTCAGATGAAGGTGGACAGACAAAAGAGCATCAAGGACATCACAGGGAGGGCAGGAGAGGTCTGGAGACACCACAGGTAGGACAGGGGATTTTTGACAATATTGCAGTGAAGGGCAGGAGAGCTCTGGGGACATACAGGAAAGGCTATAAGCTCTTTCTGTCCACTTTATAGCTTAGTGCTCCCTTAATCCTTAATAGCCTTCAGGGCTGGGGTAGGCAGCAGCCTGTCCTACCTGTTGTGACCATTTGTCCTCTGCTTGCCTGTCCTGGAAGCTGGTGCAGGCAGGGGATCACTGCAGCAGCCCAATGCTGTCAAGTGGGTGACACATGGGCCTTTCTTCACCCCAGGGGACTGTTCCTGCTTCCGTGTGGGTAGAGGAATAACAATATCCAGGAAGGACATATTGTCCCGGATGTGGCTCCTCCAAACCAGCTGGTGTCATCCTGGCATGGCAGAGCCCAGTGATGATGGAGAGGGACAGAGATGCCCTCCCTTGGGATCCCCAGGGTGAGGCTGGTGGGGATGGGGGTGCCGCGACATCGGTGTGGCTCACCTGCAGTTCCCACTTCCACTTGTCTTGTGTTGGAAGCTACCGACAGCAGCAGTGATGTCCTGATCCAGCTGGAAAGGGACAAAAGCAGGCACTGAAGCCAGCACAGCTTCTGGCATGGTTGGTGTTGCTGCAACCCATCTGCATTGTTCTTTAACCTCAGGCAACAGGCTGTCTGCAGGCTTTTTTTCAAAGGTTGAGGTATTCAGTCTGTATAAAGGGATATTTCTGTCTTTTCCTCCTCTTTTGGCCCTATGACCACAATAAACCTTTTATGTGATAGTCTCAGTTTTCAGCAGCTTCTGCATGGGCACAGTTGCAGACAGGGAGGACATTCCTTAGTCACAGATTTTCATTACAGTACAGCCTGTACTATTGTTTTTCAAGGCTGATTAAATCCCAGTTTGAGGAAACAAGTTGAATTATTTATTAACCCTTTCTTATTATTATTCCTCCTTTTTTCATAACTTCCTAATACTGATGTGTTTTAAACCACAGCCCTGTCAATTTTTAGCATCTTCAGTGCTTTCTGCATTGCATTGCCTCCCTGCCTGCCCATTGTCCCTCACCCACTTCCTGCTGTGCCAGGGTTCAGGAATGGCATTGCAGAATTTAACCATAGCAATGGTTGCCAGCTCCAAGCTGCTTTGCTCTCTGCCCTTTGGAGGGTGCAAACCCATGGAGATAGCCCAGCTCTTGACTTGTTTTATTTTTAACTCAACTGAGGCTGGTCAAGAAATTTGCCTCCTTGAGCACTGAACTTATCCCTGCCCCTGGAATGTACACTGGTGGGACAGGGAGTGTTCCATACAAGAAAAATAAAGATTTTGGACAGAAATAACCAATATGGTTTGTGTGATGCTAAACTTGAACCTACAGCTGTGAATGAGCTGTGGGTTGCTGGGCATGGAGACCTTGCATTGCCCATCCCCAAGGTCCCCGCTGGAGCAGGAGCTCCCTGAACCACGGTGATGGCAAGGGGGTGATAGAGAGGGGGTGATAACAGAGGGCAGATGGCAAGGGTGTAATAGAGAGGGGCGATGTGTGCCCCTCTTGCCCCCTGAAACCTTTCCAGACCAACCCTGACCTTTATCACAAACGTCGGCCACACTCCAGGCAGCACCTGCTTGCCAAAAAACAGTCAGAGCAAACAGCAGCTATGTGGGAAAACATACCTTGTTGTGCAGTTAATTTCTGAGACTACAAACACTGGGGCAGGAATGTCCTGCAGGCAGCCAGCCCTCTGGACAGGGATCTCTTGCAGGCAAGGTGCCAGAGGGCTGTGGGACTCCTGGAGAGAGGAAAGGAGGTTGTGGAGAAGCCAGCAGCAGAAATGCAGGGCTCTCCAGCCTGGATAGCATTGAATTTTACTGTCAGAGAGAAGCTGGGGCTCAAATGTGAGATTAAAGAGAAAGACAAATTTGAAAAGTATTTCTGAGATGTGGCCAAGAGCTGCCCTGTCTCCATTTTAAGAAAAGGATTATTTCCTGGTGAGTAGGGCTCCATCACCTCTTGCTATGAGGACTGGGGGAATTAAAACCTATTTTTTGGAGACTGCCTTGAAAAGCATTGAGAAATGGGTGAGAAACTCTGGCATGAACCCAGACACTTCAGCCTTCCTGGCCAGCAACAACTCTAACGTAAGGGGAGTTATACAATATGTGCTTATAGAGATTCAAGAATCCCTGCGTAAGTACAACTTTTGTCAGCATTAACATGCAATGTCCAAGATATTCAGGAAATATTGGTTTTTCATTAACTAAATAATTTCCTTCCAAGAAACACAAGCCAGTTTGTAAAAAGAGCAGCAAACATTCATGTCAGCTCCAGGCGAGAGGGGACGGGGCACTCTGAGTGTGGAGGGCCAAAACCAAATCCCGAGGGAATCCGGATGCTGGGTGGGTTTGCATGATCATGTCTGGTGAGGAAGAGCAGGGTGAGCTGTGTGCTGTGGCCAGTCCTGAGGTGCACTGGCTTTAAGGCTCCCTGGCACTCCGGGGCACAGCAGTGACGTGGCAAATAGGTGGCAGAATGGACAACAGGTCCAGAGAGGGGTTTTCCCATCTCACCATTGCCAGCAGTCTGGCAGAAGCCAGATTTGATCTGCAAGGCACAGGGGAAGCAAGGAGGGGCATTTCTAGCAGTCTTTTCTGGGAATATCTGCTGCAATTACCCCCTCATATGGCTAGGAACCAAGACTTTGGAAACACCCAGATTGCACAATGCCCTGGCCAGAGCTGCCACCCACAGCCCTGGCAGCAATAAAAAGGAGAAGGAGCAGGAGCATTGGCAGAGTCCTGCAAGGAGCACATCCCCAAGGTACATCAGCTGTCTGCCTGCTGCAGAGATGGTGCAAGCAACTGTCTTCCTCCTGGTGCTCAGCCTGGCCCTGGGGGCTCACAGCCTCCCTCCAAAAAAGGTAAGATCAGGTCTGGGATGCAGAGGGCAGGACGGGCAGGGTGGTCAAGGGCTGCAGGCTGTGCTGTGGCACCAGTACTGAGTCCCCTCTGCTGCAGTGCAACCTGATCGGGCGCTGGGTCAATGACCTGGGCTCCACCATGACCATCTCAGCTGTGAATGGAGACGGTGTCTTCTCTGGCTCCTACCTCACGGCTGTGTCAGCCACCACGAACGAGATCAAGGTGTCACCCCTGCAAGGAACTCTGCAACGCAAAAACCAGAAGGGCCAGCCCACCTTTGGCTTCACTGTCAACTGGAGCTATTCAGGTACTTCTCCTTTCCCAGCCTCCCTCATGTGTCTCCAGACCTGCCCTGCCCTCGCTGCTGTGATGCTCTTGAAGCTCTTCTGCCCCTCCCTGCAGCGTCCTTGCTGATTCTCTGCCTTCCCCTGCACTATGCCAGTGCTCTCTCATCCCCTCTGGTGCCCCTGATGCTCCCCCAGCCTTGTCCCTGGAGCTCCTTGGCTGCTGTCACCTCCCAGTCCCAGTGGGCAGGAGATGCAACAGGGGCTGAAGCCCACAGCTGTCTGCCCATTTCCATGTGAGACCCCCAGCCCTCTGAACCCTCCTGCCTGCTTTCCACATCCCCAATGTCCCAGGGGCCAGGCACAGCAGGGCTCTACTGTCCCGTGTGCTGGGGCAGGCACTGACCTGACACCCTGGCCAATGCATCACTGCACCTCCTGTCCTGTCCCTGCAGACTCCATCACCGTTTTCACGGGACAATGCTTCTTGGACAAGGATGGAAAGGAGACTTTGAAGACCATGTGGCTTCTGCGGTCACACGTGGACGACATTGAAAATGACTGGAAAGCCACCATGTGAGCTCCCTGTCCCTGCCCTGCACAGGTTCCCTGTGCATCCCTGGGGGGGTGTTGGAGCTGTTACGAATTGGTGGTTTGAGTTGCTTGCACCGTCACTGTCAAAGGTGTTGGCAAAAGCAGCTTCAATATCAGTTTGCAAAAGCACAACTTAGCAAAGTTCAGTGGCAAAGTTCACTCTATTGCTTGCTGCATGGGTAAAAGCATGTAAAAATAACAGCCTCTGCAGTCCCACTAAGGTGAAAATGCTATGGGAGAATACAGGGCTGGCTGGGCATTTGGACGTTGTCATGTGCCACCCTTACATCTTCTTCTGTGTCCCTGCAGGGTCGGCACCAACATCTTCACCCGTGTGCAGTCGCAGAGGGAGTGAGAAGGGCAGCAGGGGTGTTCCCAGGCTGGCAGCAACACTGGAGGGGAAGCCCCATCTCCTGCCCCACCACTTGTTTCTCCCAATAAAGCTTTGTTGCAAATCTCCACTGTTTCCTGTCCTGATGTTGAAAAATGTGGAATATGTACAAAACATTCTTAAGAAAGTATGTTCTTTGATGTTTGATCTTTGTATGCTTTCAAGACTGACCAACAAAAAGGGAGATTTAACCCATGAAACAGATAGCAGCTAACAAGCTCTAAGTGACATCTGGCAGGCAGGTCCATCTCTCTGTCCAGGGAATGTGCTGCGTGGTGTCTGTCTGTCTATCTGTCTGTCTTTCTGTCAACATCAGGTGGCCCAGGTGTCTTGAGGTGCAAGCTCTCAGCCCCCTCTGCCTCTCTCCAACCCTGTCAGACTCCACCATGGCCTTTGTAGGCCAGTGCTTTGTGGATCGCTGTGGGAAGGAGACACTGGAAACCACATGGCTCCTGTGGGAAGAGGTCCCATCCCACAGGGACACCTGGAAAGCCACCAGCTGAGCCCTGTCCTGGCCCTCCCACCCCACAGCCCTCACTCCCCTCCTCCTGACATGTCTTCCTCGCAGGGTTGGCACCTCCATCTTCACCCGCCTCAAGTGATGGGAAAAGGGCCCAGAGCTGCCTGCAGCCTGCTGTCCTTCTGCATCCCCAAGGCTCTCCACTGTAGCAGTCTCAGGCTGGGCTCCTGCCTGCTCCCAGCATCCTGCACAGGAAACACACCCTCACCTTGCCCTGCTTCTTCCCAGTGCCTCCCAGCAACGTGCTGGTGGGGCTCTCCCTTCCCAGAGCTTGCTGCTCCCACTCATGGAGCCAAATAAAGCCTTCTCCAGCTGGCAGAGAGCCGTGCCCCATGTTTCCCAGGGATGCAAGCAGCCACTCTGTGGCTGGATACTGGAGGGAACATGAGAGGGACCTGGAGCTCCAGGGGAAGCTGCTGGGTAGACTGGGTGGCTAAAGCCACATACTGAAGGGCTCCATGGTCTATGTGCACAGCTCTGCATGTATTTCCCAATACTTGTCTGTCCCCTGATTAGGGAGAGGGTGGAACAGGGTACAGATCTTTTATGATGTTCAAATTCACAGGATGTCATCTGTACCTTAAACTTTGTTTTATCAGCTAATTAGGAAAGGGAACAAACCAAACAGGGGCCCTTTGCACTGATATGACTGAAACTGGAACTCACTACTCCATCATTTCAGCAACTCATGAAGTTTCATTAGTTACATAATCTGTACTGTGCAGCTCCCAGCTCCTGCTCCTGAGCACCAGAGGGAGAAGCCGTGTGGGCAGGGAGAGGTGCAGCGCCTGCCTTGGACTGCAGGATGGCTGGGGGAAGCAACTGCTGGATGGGGCAGGGATTCTGGGGCAGAAAGCACACAGTGCCCTGAGAAAGTGCCAGGGCCTGTTGGTCATTCTCTTCCTCTCACAGTGTGCCTGCCCTTCCCTAACCTTCCTCAGCCTATGCTCCTCTCCCTCATTCCCTGCTGGGCTCTCAGGCTGCTCTTAGCACCACAGCAGCTCCCAAAGAGTGCACTGACTATCCAAGGCTTGCTTATGCTGAGTACAACTGGCTGATGTGCCTGGTGGTCCAGCTTTTGCTCAAAAGCCACCCCTGCATCCTCATCCTCACCCTTACATCCTTGTCTTTGTGCCCTCATCCTCACCCTTGCACTCTCATCCTTACCCCTGCACCCTCATCCTCACCCCTGCCTTCCATACACAGTCCCCAGTTCATCCCCATTGCACACTGGAGTCCTTGGCACTGCCCTGGTCATAATGGTCTCCTTCTCATGCTCCCTCTCCCCAAACAACCACTGTGGCTGTCAGTAGCACCATGAGCTGGTTGTTTGGGTCCCCAAACATTTCTCTGAATGGTCTGTGAGGTCAAAGCCTTGGGACCCCCATGAGAATGGAAGATGAGGCTGGGAGTCCTGGTGGGTGAGCCCATGATGGGACAGGGGGCATGGAGAACCTTGCAGGATCAGGGCACAAGATTTCATTTCTGTCCTTTCATTACCCACATGACTGCAAATTCCTTGTCTCTTAGGGTCTCATAAGAAGGGAGCCCATGGGATAGGAGAGGAAGTAAACATTCTGCTTGCTAAACAAGGAAACAGAAAGCAAAACTGCAGCATTTACAAGAAACCAGCACTGGCAGTGCCATCTACACTGCAATCAAAAGCTATCCTGAACACTCCACACCCTGGCCCTGAACCTGACCTGATCCTGCCCTTTTGCTTTTGTCTGGTATGTGCAACCAGGGCTGCCCCCCTCCGGCCCACAATGCCTGGGGTTTTCCTATTGCTGTTGGAGCAGGTTCATTTCCTTCATCTACCAAATCCCTGCACCCACTGCAGGTCACCATCTGTCCACACACAAATACCCTTGCCCAGACCTCATGACTCCCTGTCCTTCTGTCCATCCTCTGCAGTGACCATGGAGTGGTTTGGGGTGCAGGAGCTCCTGTGGGGCAGGGTGGAAGCCCAGACACAGCCCTCAACCAGTAGACATGGGGTTGCAGACTGGGTGATGTCAGTGGGAAGCCCCACACAATCCCTCCTACATCCTGGTTCCCACCCATCCCTGTTCCCATCTCTGTTCCAGACCCCATGTCCATCACCACCCCTGTTCCAGTCTCCATGCCCATTCCCAGTCCCATTCCAGTCCCCATCCCCACCCTCATCCCCACCTTCAAGCCTCATCCTTGCCCCGTCCCCATCCCCCCCCTCCTGCTTCCAGCCCCATTCCTGTCCCCATCCCCATCCCCATCCCTATCCACATCCCCTATCCCTCATCCCTGTCCCCATTCCCACCCCCGTTCCCAACTCCCGCGCCTCTTCAACACCCTCCTCTCCTCCAATGCCCGTCTCTGTCCCCATCCCCATTCCCATCCCCGTTCCTCCTGCAAGTGCCGCCCCAGGGCTTTCCCGGAAAGCAGCGGAGGAGTCGGGATATAAAACACGCCGGCGGCACTGGCACGGCGACTTTCGGTCTCGCCGCTGCATCCCGATGAGCCGCCGCTTACTCTCTGTCCTCGCTCTGCCAGTCGGGGCGGCAGTGGCCGCGGCCGCGGCGGGATGCCAGGTGGGAGCTTCTGCTGGGACACACGAGTGGAAACTCGGCCCCGGGAGAGGTTCAGTGGGAGCAAGTCTGGGGGTCCCGGAGCTCGGGAGAGACACGCGTAGGAGACTCATCGGAGTGGTGGGATATGATGGGGGAGCTGCAGCGCTTGAGGGAGAGGGACACGCGTGGAAGACCCATCTGCGGGGGGAATCCCCGACAGCTGGAGGACCTCCTGCTCCACGGGGTACACAGACGGCGTCCCTGACGAGGGAGGTGCTCCGAAGAGGGAAGGGATGTTCCAGGACTGTCCGAGTCCCCGAGAGGAATGTACATGGGGATTCCCTCCCTGCTGCAGGGGGCACGCATGTGGGAACCCTCCACTTCTCCCCGAGGGACATGGAGGTGAACTGGGGCAGGGCAAGGATGGGGCCCCTGCCCCAGCGGTGTGACTTGTCCCTGCCTGGGAAGGTGCAGTATGGGAGAGGACAGGCAGTGCACAGAAGTGGAAGTGGAGCCTCGGCAGGTGGGATGTGCAGGGCTCTGGCTGTGACACAGCCCACAATGGACCTCAGGGCTCCCCGCTCATGCCACACATGAGTGCTGAGCACTGCACATGTCCCCACAGACATGGACAGATGTGCCCTGGGCTCTCAGAGCTCACTTGGCAGGGCTACAGTAGGGGGTGTTTTCTGTGTTCCTGCCAGTCGAGGGTTCCCACCTTTAGCTTTTCCTCTTCACCTCTCTCTTTTGCTCATCTTACTCCAGCTTTTGACCTTCCTGGCACAGCTGAGATAACAGCGACTTTATAAGTTGTGTCTTTTGAAAACAAATGCTTGGGCACTCACGGGGCTTCAGACACACCCTGAAGTGCCACTGTTCACGGCTTGACCTGTGTTTTCTTTCTTTTCCAAGCTCCTCTGCCAGGAAGCAGAGATCCCAAGGGAGAATAAGGCCACTGAGAATGAGGCAACCAAGAGCAGGTGGGGGCTGGGCCGCTGGCAGAAACGCCCCACAGGGAGTGGCAAGGTGAGTGACAATATCCCATGGGAATTGGGGGGTGCAGGCAGGGGGCACAGCCTGTGGGGCAGAGGCTGTGTGCAGGCAGCCCCCTGGACACATCTGCCTGTCCCCAGCCGTGCGACCTGACTGGCTGGTGGGAGAATGATCTGGGCTCCAAGATGCACGTGCTCGAGGTTGACAGTGAGGGCAATTTCTCTGGCGAGTACCACACCGCCGTGTCAAGCACTGACAAACCCATCCAGCCATCCCCCCTTGTTGGCTCCCAGCACCTGGACAAGGATGGGCAGTGCACCTTCGGCTTCACTGTCAACTGGAAGAAGTTTTCAGGTCTGTAGCTGCAGCTATGGCTGCTTGTGGGTGGGGTAGTGGGATGAGGAGGGGAGCTCATGCATGTCCCGATGCCCATCCCAAGCCCTGTGCTCTCTCTCCTGTCCCCTGTCTGTCCTTTCCTGATCCCTCCCCACTGTGGATGGTGTCTGCAGACAGCAGGACACATCCCAAAACACTATTTGGGTGAGATGGCACCAAGAGTTGCTTTGGTAATATCTCTGCCACGCAACGTTTCCCTACAACTATCAAGATACACTCGGGCTCCATGAGCATTAAGCCCACTAGTGCTTGTGAAGCTCCAAATTCAGCTGGGGTCCTGCTGGGGTGCTAAAAGCCGCCACTGCTCCAGATTCCACAGCTGTCTTCGTGGGCCAGTGCTTCTCTGGGGACAATGGGAACGAGGTCCTGCAGACCTCTTGGCTGCTGCGGGAGAAGGTCGACTCCCTGCCCAGTGACTGGAAAGCCACCAGGTGAGCCAAAGGACACCCAGTCCATCTGGGATCCCTACCCCTCTGCTGGCTGGGCACCAATGGGCTACTGGTTCCTCACAGGACCGGCCACAACACCTTCATTCGGGCAGGCTGAAAGAAGGGAGAAGTCTCACTCTCACCAGGCTTGGCAGACCAGGAGCCCCTC